CCATGGCAACTCATGTAAAATGTTGTCTGAATCAAGATCACAGGATTTGGCTGATTTCGAGCAGTCCCGAGCTGTGGTCTGTGAAATCACAGTACCAGTCTGCGCAAACAGACCGGGCTGTATTCTCCACAGGGGTTACCGCTGTACTTCAATGTCGGTACATTTGTGTGGGATGAAATCTGAGGGCTGCTAATGGTATCTGAATGCAAAAAACTGAGCAACGCTGCCACGGATCAAAGGGTTAATTTCAAATCAATTCAGTGGGAAACACAATGGTCTTTTGAAAGACTGTTAAATGATGCTATTGTTAAACTAGCACCGTCCTGACTTTGGTGTTGAATATTCAGTTTGAAAGCTGTGGAGGAGACAAAAATTACAAAGTAAATCATCCAGCCTTTAACACTGTAGAGGTTTATATTTGTTGTAGTTTTTGGCAGTAATGAGGGAAAATACTTTCTAAAAGTACTACTAATTTTAAGCTCAATAATTCCTTGAATGTGTTGATTTAAAGACAAAAAGGGCAATGTTTATATCCAATTTTTAAAATTATGATAATACGCAGTGATTGGAAATTTGATTATTCCAAAATTAGATCTAAGATAGGCTGTCAGTAACAGGAAGAAGTACAAGTTGAGCCAATTTTCATTTAACCGCAATTACAGAGCGCAAGCTTAATAAATGTTCTTTTCATGCAATGCCATTCGCACTACCTTACAAAATATGAAGCCATTCCAGGGACTAAAACTGGAAAATTAGCTGCCAGTGGCATACTGTATTTCCAAGTACAACATGGCTTACTGTACTGTAGCGTTAGCCAAAGCTTGAGGCCTCAACAAGGTAATAATAAAATTCACTATGATGTCAGTTCAGAGCTTTTCATTTAAAAAAAAAAAAAAATCTCAGTTCTACAGTTTCAATTTTACCAAAATAACTGATGACAAGGAAAAACCTGTGCTTTACCATACTTTACTGACTATATCAGTGAAATACAGGTTTAGATGTCTTTGAATTTGCTCCATTTAGCAAGGCAGCTATCTGAAATGACTCTGAAAGGTTTAAGTTGTTTTTACATGTCAGTATTTATTTTTAAAATTTGTCTTTTAGGAAAAGTTTTTTTTTTCTGCCTGTAACACTAACGAGAAAAACCCATCACAAAATTGATGGCTATCAGCAGAAAAGATATGCTGGTCTGTTAACCTGGTATTTTGAGTAGCAAATATCAGCAGTAACAGAAAGAAAAGACTTGAGGTGGTTTTACAGGAACTGCACCATTCGCCAGCACAACACTATCAGCTCTGTAACTGGAGCCAGAATGTTTTAGGACATCACGTGTAGCCTAACGAGCAATGCATTCTGCATGGTTAGTATGGCAGGTTTGTAGAAGGAGGGCAGGAAAAATGAGAATTCACTTGATTAAAAACTCCGTTCTTTAAATGGATGTGCCTCAATTCTTGGTGCCTCTCTGGATGGTGTCTGGTCTTCACTACCTTGAAATTCTCACATACACTAGCACAACCTAGTGCTTGTGTGCTGCAATAACATGCTGAGCAGGGAAAGTCAGCTCCTCACACTACCTACCTCCATCAGGTTTTTAGATACAGCTGCAAATCCTTCTTACATTCAAAGACCCGAAGTCCTCGTATTAGAAAAGAAGTTGCTGAGCCTAATTAACAGCACAAACACACTGCTTAGTTGTCTCCTCCTCGATTAGATGCAGAGTCATAACAAGGAATTTAAATGGCAGAGGAAGCAGTCTAAGATGAGGGGGCGTTTCTGACTAGTCATGCCTTTTAACCAGAACCTCTTGCAATGAGAAAACAGAAAACGCTGCTGTGCCCTCACTGGGGACAGGCACCAACTAACATATCTTAAATCAAATCAGCTACCTTCAGAAAACTGTTAGCAGCACAGACAGCATATGACCTGCTAAGAGATTAAGGGAGAGAGCACATCTTTGAATGCCTTGCCCAGAAAGGAAGTAGCAAAGGCAGACTCTGGAGTTCATTACTCTTTGTGGGAGGAAAGGTCATTACAGCGAGATCATACAAGCAAGGTCCTGGAGAGCAAATATTGCAGGTTCTTTCCTCTCAAAGGGGAGGAAAGCTCTCTACCAGCTAACTGGAACGAAATCTCTAGCGAAGCCTTTTACCACCTCCATCCCACAGAATGGAAATGATTAAAAGCCTTTAGTTTTTAATTTATTTAACAACAGAGCAGTGTTGAAATGATCTTGGTTATGAACCAAAGGGTAGTTCAAAATTTCCTTAGAGGCGTTATTATTATTTTAAGCAGTTTAACATAAAGTGCATTATATAGTAATTGCACACCATATGCTTTCTGTGTTTTGGTGAGAAGAGGCTGCCAGATGGGCTCTGATACTTCTAGCTTCAAGTGTCTGAATGGAAAAGATTAGAAGAAAGAAAAAGTGCCAGGATCACACTAAACAATTCTGTTTCTTATTATGTAAAGTACGTGGTAAATGCAGTGCTGGCAAGTTCTTTACCAGATGACAAAGATATTAACTAAAAGTAAAGTTGTAGAGGATGCTCAAGACATTAAGGTATCACAGTCCAATCTGAGTTCTGATAAGCCATAAACATGGTAAATTTGTAACCTAAACTAGTGGATGGCTCTTCACTCCTGTCCTTCTGCCATTATGCAGAAGGAAAGGACTTGGGAGTAATTCTCTTGCTTATCTTACAAACTCTGATTCAGAGAAAAAGGACAGAGAAGATGATACCTAAAACTAAAAGCATTTCCTAGCAGCCATAAAAAAAAAAAAAGATAAAACAGTCAAAAAGCTCATTTAAAGCTTGTAACTATTTCAAGCTTTGCAGCAGCGCTGTATTCAAGTTCAAAGAACAAGCAGGCTTGGGAAGGTGAATATTTGGGTAGGTGTTTTACAAAACAGTTAGACAGTCTGGTGTAAGACATTCTGTAGCTAGAATTCTCTGTGTATGACCCAACATCATCTAGTACTTCACTCTCAGAGATACCATAAGGGGGAGCACATGTGGTCAAGGTATCTAACGTGATAACAGAGCTCCCCTGCCTTTTTTGTAAGAGTTAAACCTGAGGTCCTGGTCAAATTCTACCAGAAGTAAGTTTAGAAATGAGCTTTAGAACAAAAAAAGCCCTTTGACTTTTAATGGGACTCTTACACCTAACTCATTCAGCTACTTCTAAAAAATCCTATTCTGCCTTTTTAACTCCCCCTGGCTTTTTGCTGTGATACAGCATTCTTCTGGTGCTTTCCTAACTGCTGCCCTGCACACACTGAACAAGCTTATTTCACTTCAAAGAGGACAACTGTTCCACAGTACCAGAAATCAGGGATGCTCACTACTTACTCGAAGAAATAGTTTGTTGCCGATTTTAAGATACTCTCTTTCATTTCCATGCTATCAGCTCTTTACAGTAAAGAGTATTTTCTCCGTACTTAAATACCTCAATGTCAGAAAATAATTAGGGTATTCTTGCCCACTACATAAATTAGTATCCTGCTATATAAAATGAGCTACGGGAGTACTAAACACTGACATACTGACCTGGCAACTTTAGCTCTACAAAAGAAAGCACTACAAGCAAAGTTACAATACCCATGACAAAGCTTCCAAGTACTAGCACCCCTGTGTCTGCAACGACAGCAATACTGTGATCAGAGCTGCTGATATACCGCATGTGAGCGTAATTGTTTGTAGAGAGGGGGCACTGAAAGTCTACAAAATAGCTGACAATCTGCTTTCTACTCAACTTACTACGCTTGGAACAGGGTAAAAACTTGCCCCATAGCACCGTGCTCTCCAGATGCTCTCACTTTGCGTTTCTTTTTGTGACACAATCAAATTATTAGTAAGAGCCTCCTTCCCAGAGCATGAACTCCTTGGGTGTCTTTCCAGCAGCAAAGAAAAACGCAGTCGGTGTCCATACAGCATAAACTACTCCTTTGTGAAGAGGGAGTCATTTAGAAGCAACTAAATCGTTGATTTTTCTGCTTTAAAAATCAGATGATTGATTAGAGCTGTCCAAGAAAGTAGCCAATTGATTCAATTTCTTTTGCGTCTGATTATTTACAACAGGCTTCACTCACACTCTGGAGAGAGGTTTGAGAGGATCGTGCATTTCAAGCACTGTGAATAGGCATTCACACCATTGCCAAAGAGGAAAAATGCCCTTTGAGTCTTCTTTTAACTGTGAAGGAAATCTTTTCTTTTCTATGCTGTACTTCCCAAAATAAGAATAATGAACTGTATGTTCAGCTTTACGAGAAACTGCAGGGCGGGGAAGGTTGGTTGACACAATATTTAGGTAACTGAAATGTACATGTCAGAAATCCTAGTGAACACAAATAGCAATGGACAAACAGCACAAAAAGAGAAGATGAACATCTTAATTTGCTGAACGTCAGTTAGAGAGCATAACCCTGAGAGATGATATGTAGCAGCTGGGGTTCACAAATTCACATAAAGCTTAACTTTAGAATAACATTCTTTCCCATACATCTATATTAGGATTTTATTTACTTATTACCTCCCTGCAATACAGTCACCTTTTTCGCCTCTTAGGAATGAATGCATTTTTGCTTAAGGAAGTTCATAAAAATAAGACTGATACCAAACCGAGGTTGGGTTGGGGTTGTTTTTGCAGTTCTCTTACTGTGTTCAAAACCCATTTACAACTTACAACTTCTTCCGCAGAAAACATTTTATGAATTCTACTTTGTGCTTGGACCATGTGAAACCATGCTAAAAACAAACATACTGATAAGAATCTGTTTGAGAAATACATTGGTAAACACAGGCCCACTTAAGGAAATACTCATCCATGTAGGCATTAACGAGTGAAGGAAAAGATGTTTGGATGAGTATTTAAATAATGGCAGAAAATACTTAAAATACGTTAATCAAAACCAGACAGAGTATCATACTGTGTACATGGGGATCAGTTTTTCAACACTGCCATGAGTTTATACTTTTATTCAAAGGCACATGTCTACTTACTTGGTTAGCTTATGGCCTTTCATTGCTACGAGGAAATCTCTCACAGTCTCAGGACTCTGGTATCTACAGGGTGTTTTTGAAATGTACTTCAGTGTCTGCAACGGATAGAAAGAAAGTATACATTATTTCACAGTTAGTATTTGCTTTACCAGTTGTGTATGGAACAAGCTGATTTTGAAGTTTCCTCAGTACTCCTCAGAAAAATTGGAAAAGGCAATTCAGGTTTTTGGGTTTGGCTTGTTACCTTTTTTTTTTTTTTTAAAAACAGTGGGAAGTGCTGTCATAGATGACACAGATCACTCACATTTTTCTGTCTTCAGTAAGACTATACTGATGTTTGCTGAGGGAGTAAGAAACAGGCAATATGTAACTACAACTTTATATAATGGAAATTACATTAGTATTTATCCAGAAAGCCCCAGTGAATTCATTCTGTAAAGACATGACCCAGCCAGGTCATTACACACCCAGGTGAGAATGACAGCTTTGACTATTCCCTCTGTGGCTGTGGACGGCCATTTACCTGATCTGTTCAAAGCCCAAAGTCACATGTTGAAGAAGACAGGAAAGGAGTGAGTTTTAGCTCTGTCTACTAAAAATCACCTGCTGTTTGTGAAAGACATTTGCTTTCTTGGTTCGAAATAATCTCAGGTGATGCTGAGACTGTGATCAACACATACCGCTGTGCTGAATAGTATCACTCAGATATACTTTTCCTTTTAAAACCAGTAAACATTTACACATTCAAAGCTAGTTTAAAGAGGTACCAAGATAAGGGATTTGGTGGTTTTTTCTGGTGTTTATTTTTTGTTGTTTTGTTTTGGTGTTTTTTTAAAAGCTTCACTTTTAACACTTCAGAAAAGTTGAATACTCTTCATCCTTAAAACCATGTTACCTTCTGCCAAGTTTTCCTGTGCTCAGTGCCAGGGATACTCTCACTGCCAACCCATAACTAACTCATTAAGTTCTCCAATCTATGGATGTTTTCATCCTTTATATGCATATTTGGCAATGCTTTCTTAAAGTTCATAGAAGCAGGTTAGGTGGGTTGTCATGAAAATCTGCAAGAATACTGTAGTATTAGAAATGTTTATCTGACTTGAAACAATTTATCTTTGCTCCATTTTTTACATGTAACGCCTATCAACCTCAGCTAACTTTTGCAGCAGATATTATGTCTGCTTTATTTAAAACAGCACGACACCTAGCAGACAGGTAATGTAATTACATAATGTAATTTGACCCAAGTAAAAAAAAAATTGTCGATTAAAAAAACCCACACAAATTCCAGTTCACAGCTGTCTTTTCACTGGAAGTAGCTCAGAATCTTCCTGAATGTTGCTTTGATTAGACCCCAAAATGAAGAGTTGGAAATAATGGGCATCAATGGAAAAGTCAAGGAAATCCTTGCATTGTCTGCATTGTGTGCATCAGCAACTGAAGGATTTAAGAGAGTATTGTTAATGCTTGTTTTGAATTAAGGAACAAAATCTTCATCCGTTGATACTGCATAGCTATACATAAAGCTTAAAAGTATCAATGCAACTGACTCATGATGCACTAATTGGATTGCAAACACAGAGACGTGTGGTAGGACACCACATGCACAGATTATCTATAATAATAATAAAACCCCATAAAATTCTATATGATACCCTGAGTTTCTTTCTCAGAAAATCTTTAAACTGAGTATTTATATTTGAAAACTATGCAAATGTATTTCCAGTGTATTTCCATTAAAATCTGTTATCATTTAAAAATGTTAGGTAAAGGAAAACAGATTTCAACAACACAGGATAATTCATCCTACTTAACAGATAGAGTATTGATGAAATATGAATCACTGGTATTCTTAAGGACCAGTTTCACTGGACTACTGAGAAATATATTTAAAAGCACAATAAGGTGTTAGATAACCCTCCCTTCTCTGAGTCCCGTCGTGACCTTTTCATATAAAATGGGAGGGAGTTATTATACACCAGTAATGACTGAAACAAAATCATCTTATATTATTACATGATATTATATTATCATGTAATAAGATTGTTCAATAGGAGTAATTTCTTTTCCAGTTTAGTCTTTTTTGGCAATTTCAGATCAATTAAAATGCCAGACATACAGCAAAACATAGCTCCAGTTTAGCAAGCTTCATCTAGTTATTTCAGTACCAATGGATACAAGCCTGCACAGAGCTCATGAAGACATACTCAGCGTGAATAAAAACAGTCCTGCAAGATCAAATTCTGGTTTTCTTTCAGTCAAATATAGAGAAAATGTACCTAGAGTTTACACCAGCTTCACTCCATGCTCAAAACCGAGCATCCTATAGGTATTTAACATGTAGCAATATAACAAGGCAATTAAAGCTTTAAGGTGTATTCTGACAAAATATACTTACAGGATCTTTCTCAGTTGTTTCAAAGAGGTACAGGAAGAGACTGTTAGTCTCCATGAAGATTTAAATTAGATTTTTTTGTAAGCCTCTATTTTGTTGAATATGAGGCTTAGGAATTACCACTCTAACTTTTCAAACAAAGCCAGAACTAAAACAAAAACAAAGCCTAGGCCAAATCTTATTCACATGAGTAGTTTCACTGCTCAACAGGATTACTCATGCAAGCAAGGCAAACTGCCTGCAACTCGCTGCCAATCGTGGTGCTACTCATGCAATTCTCTGACACAGGCACAATAGGTGACACTGCAAGTCTATTATGAAGTTGCTAATGTGAGGTATTTAGAATGTTAACATTTGTATTATATGATTTTAAAAGTTCTTCCTTGCAATAGATTGAACATTTATTACCAATCTGGCATCCAACTGATGTTGCTGTCTGTACATGTGATTTTGTTATTCAGGTTGTCCATGTCTTGCTCTTTTGACAAAAAACAACAAAAAACCAAAACCAACAAAAAAAAAAATCTATTTCAATGGGAAATTATTAGTTTAATTCTATTAATAAGAAAATACCTGTGCCTCAGCTTTGAAACCGTGATTAGGTGGTATCATCAATTCATCATATGATACCAAGTTCTTCTGCCCTGTGTCTTAAAAGGATATAATATTTGGAATCACCCCCCCCCCCCACCCAAACAGTAAAAATAGAAGGGAAGGGGGGGTTATTCTTTTTGTGATAGATTTTAATAAGAGCAGCTGCATGCCTCTGCCTTGGCAGCGCAGTTAGCCTACAACCTAAATAAACTGACCACAGAAAAGTGGCAAAAAAAAAATTACTGTGTTTTTTAATAGGGGAAATTTAATACAAAATTATTAATATACAGACCTAAGGATGTGAATTACTCCAGCTTGGGCTAATTTGCAAAGGAATTTCCAGTGCTACTCACTTCATACACAATTGTGTTCAGGTTCTGCTGACCAGAGCTCTGCTTGTTCTTTCCACTCTCTTTGCGCTGCTGCTTAAGATCAGTAAGTAACTGGAACACCTGGGGAAAAAAATAAAGTGTTTTAGACCATTTGAGAGTATTTTACCTAAAAATATTACAGCAGGAAAACATAAATGAACAATGCAAAATCCTAACAACCAAACAACAACAAGAAGCGTGGCTTCTTTGGTGAATGCACCGGCAATTGAAATGAAAAATATTTTGGCATCAGAATGATGAATAGGTATGTAAATAGTTTTTTAAAAATTGTGACTATTTTAAACAGATTTTCAGCACTTGTTAAATGTTACCCAAAAGCCCCAAAGGAGAAGCTGCCAGGATGAATCTATCCTACTTGTTTATCTTATCTCATGTCCTGAACAGAGTTGGGTCATAGACTGCTGTACTGGCACAGAGCTCCCATTTAAATATGAGTGATGCTTGAAGCAAAAAGTCACACAAGTTTATGGCCCTGCTGGATTTGTTATGACAGATGTACCTATAATATTAAAATGGATATTTGTTCTGTCTCACAGAGATGTAATTTTACATTATCTGCAAAAAAAAGTAAACTCTACAACTGTCACACTGCCAGGAACCAACTAAATAAAGGCTTGACCTATAGATGCTCCTGAGATTAGTGATCCTATTGTAAATTCCAGTGGAGTTATTCATAATGGTATATGTTACAGTGACCAGCATGGTGTTATGGTGTGTTAAGCCACAAAGATTAAATTAGCTCCCTATTTCATCACAATGTAATACAAGCAGACATTCCCGAAAAGAATGTAATAAAGTTGTCTTCACATTTATGATGCAGTGAATATTAATGTAGGAACGAGATTCAGAGGGTAGGTCTGAAGGCAAGGAAGATGTTTTGATTTTTGCAACTGTGCTTTGTCAAATCTGTTGCAACACATCTTTATTCATCATAGCTAGATACGCAGCAAAATGTTGAGTTACTCTTTTATTCCCATATTAAATCACATTAGGTTGAAATTTCTTCAGATGTTTTGCTTCAGGCTTTACGGTATATCCAGAGCCAATAACCACAGCAAAGCAACAGACCACTTCTTACTGTTTATCCCCTAATTTTTAACTAGCTTCATTCAAGATCCAGATCCAATGGCATTATAAACTTACAGGTCCACAGAAATAAAATACAAACATTTCTGGACAGTGAGAAATAAGAACATTACCAGCTATGAATCCTGCAATTACTTTATACTGTCTTCTATGAAAAAGGAACACCTTGTGTATCAACCACCAGTAGTCAATCCTCACTTGAAAGCCAAAACTGAAGCTATGAACTTTTATCTAATTAAGTATTTGAAGAAAATATAGCCAGGGATGAGATACAAAATGACAACTGCAAACTCACAGAATAAATGTAGGCATAGGACATACAACATGTCAGTCCTGAACACTCCTTTCAAACACCACTTTCTATGCAAAATATTACCTCGATGAAGAGAATGCTAGCTATGCCAGTCAAACTGCAACTGGGAAGAGGAGCAAACAGAAAGGGATTGTAGTTTTAGGGGAATCAGTACTTTGAAGAGCAGTGAAAAGCCATGAACCAAAAGCCTATAGCTGCAGACACTGCAGATCCCTTCCTGCAAAGGATCGAAAAGCTGCATGCATGCCAACTGCTGTGAAAGGGAAACGAGAAATAAGCACTCTCATCAGTAACTTCGCTTTCCACTTCCTTTTGCTCTTTTTCAACACACATGGTACATTCACCAACAAAAAGACTCAGCTGAAGAAAGTTCTGGCTGAAGAGCATGAAAAATGGATTCTGCAATTCTCCCTGTTCTGGACCATACCTGTAGGACACCTATAGATTTTACATAATGTGACTGACACCACCACTTGAACCTCAGCAGGCAGTAATACCTAGATTCCAACAAATATCCCAGCAAACGAAGAAGAAAGCAGAGATGATTTTGCAATAAATAATCTCTGAAATACTTGCTATTTTCTGTACTGCAATAGTACATGTTTTTAACAAACAGATACTTAATACTAGTTTGGCTGACGGAGTATCATCTATTTCTTAGGCAAGACAGTTCCTTCCAAGTATCTCATTAAAGCTCTTCTAACAGTCACCAGATGGTTGCTCTGCTGGACGCAGACAGATGCAGCTCAAGATAAAACATTTCAAGATTTCTTTCAGAATAGGATGAAACAGCTGCGCAACTTTCAAGCTTCAGCAATAAAACAATATAAACAAAGCACTTGGGTTATTAAAACCGTTAAAAAAATTACATTCATAAACAAAGCACCGAAATCTTTCCATTACCTGGTTGAAGTTAAACCAATAAGAACACTACATTTCTTTCTACCTCACTAAAAAAATACCTTTATTCAGGAGAGAGGAAAATGATTCAGAACTTATCTACACTAGAAAATAAGGGGTTTTTTGTTTATTTGTATGCCAATATTCATTGTTTGTTATGACAGGGCACTGTAGCTTCCCCATGACATCAGATCAAGGTACATCACTGGCTTCTAGGCGTGTTTATCCTGAGTAACACATCTCAGATCAGCAAACTGCCTCATGCTTACTATAACCTAAACTGCTTTGGAAACACCTCAAGGTCTTTGAAAAAAATACTGTCGAGAATTCAGAGGTGGAAGACTGCATTTCCAGTAGCACTGGCTTTAATAAAACCATGCATTAATGAGTTATAAGTTCTCAGATGATACTGCACATCACAAGGTTAAAGTTAAATACAAAAGATTGATTCTAGCAGCAGCCATCTGTGAAAGATGTCTGAATTTTTCTGCAAGAATTTTTATTTGCAATGTTAAAGAGACTCCAGCAATCAGCGTGTCACACACTTGGTGGTACATTGGCTTATCATAAGACAAAATTAAAAAAAAGAGATTTTGGACATTGCTGCCCAGTTACAGAGGTGTCAACATTCCCGATTTAGGATCCGATGCATCACACATCATACAAAGCACCAGTGAATCCAGTGCACTTGCCCAAATACACAAGCGTTTAAAGATGTGGAGAATCAAATCCTAAATAACAAACCACCACACGCAAGAGGATTCAACAAACTAACCACACTGCAACAGTGTAAACACAACACGTAAAAGCATTTAACTTTACGACAGTAAAGTTAAAGTTACTGACATTCTAAAGATCTGCTCCTCCTCTATTTGAAAAACATATTTATATCTGTTTTTACAGATTTAGGACCAACCAAATAATAATACAGTACCCATTACTAGTGAAAACTAGTAATTTTCTAGAAAACTAATTGCTTTTAAAAAGCTTTTTTTTTAAATAACAAATCAAATGTGGGAGGGGGGGCATCACATGCAGGTCTTGCTGACTGCCACTGGCAATTTTCAGCTTCCAAAGTATACAAGTGAGTGATTACAGCTTTAAACTGCTGGTTTAAAACCAGGACATAGATAAACTTACCTCAAAGTTACTTAGCAATGCGGCATTTGCATCTTTTCTAGAAGGAAAAATGAAAACTATTAATTTATGTTCTAAAACTGCCTAAAATTTTTCTTTGCTGAGTCACGCAGACTCTAAAAGAACAGACGCTACTTTCATAAAGTTAAAAAAAAAAAATCATCAATAAATCTATTTTTGGTGATTATACAATTACCAAGTTGTTGCCACCTCTGAAAAATATTTTTCCATATTGTTAGTATAATTATTACACAAATATACAGCATATTTTGCACTATTTGCCCCATAAATCATAATACACTTATACAACATAAACTTTTTACTCAGCCACACTATTTCATTCACTCACCCAATTTTACAAACTAAAACCGAATTGCCTTGCCTCTTCCTTACAAAAAAGGGCCTCCAGTTTTATTTGAATAAAGACTGACAGGAAAAATCATTCAGATTACACACACTATTTATTTATTAGTCACGAGTATGGAAAAAGAAAATATAATTACTACGCTTAGTACAATGTACATATGTGTGTGTGTATAGATATAGATATGGCACTCTATTTACACATACTGTACTGAGTAAAAAAAAAAACCAAACCAAACCTTATTGCATCTCCTCTTTATTTATTCTTTGAATCATTATGTGGCTACTCCTTTATTAGCAGGGCAAGGCTGAGTTTCTCATTTTCCACCATCCAAATACTTCCCTACAAATTCTGTCCCAATTAAGCAAGCATCGTTATCCACTGCTGGTAGGCTGAATGCACTGAGTCAAGCACATATTTAGACTAATCACACCTCTATTATTACCGGATATTGTAATTTTATATTTTTAAATTAAAAAAAGGGAGAAAGACTGACGCAGAACATCCTATATTCCCCGAACAACACATTCTGCTGAGCAGTCAGCAGCCACAACAACAGAAAGTTTCCATACAAAAGGAAAAAAAGGCCTCTCAGGTCTGCGCAGCAGCTTATTAAAAAAAAAAAAAAAAGAAAAAAAAGGTACAATGTATTGTTAAGCACCGTCAACTGTTTGAATAGAACTGCCACGGTCACCACTTTCAAACAAGTTAAATGCATCCACAAACTTCCACAGGTTCTACCATTGTTTTTAAATGAAAAGGACCTTCTAAAATACGCTGAGATGAACTTCAACTTCCATCTCGCTGACTCGAGTGAAACTTCAGCAAGTGAGCTCACACGCGCGTTAATTTTCATTCATGTTTTACAAACCACATAGCTTTTGTTGTTAGGTAAGTGCAATTCTTCAGAATGTCTGCATTCAGGCTATTGCTACAGAAATCCCTATCGATCAAAGACATTCTTTGTTAGAAATAATAATGCTATATAAGTATTATACAGGGAATTATTCTGTTAAATAAGTGAAAGGGTCATGTAGAATAAATACATTACTATGTAAACGAGTGCGAAATCTATCTGAAATTAAGACAATCACTTCTTTTTTAATTCAAAAACACTTTGTCATTCAGAAAAATATTTTTTTTCTTCTAACAATGGATAGCAAATGATTCAGTCTCAAATCTTCAACAATTTTTGTTGTGCTGAAATACCAGAATTATAAACTGATAAACAAGACCAGTTTCAAAAACTTTTGCAGAACTTATAAAGTAGAAATACAATTTTCTTCAGTCCTCTCATGAATCAACTATCAATTTTACATTTAGAAAACAAGAAATTATAAATAATGAATTCTAATGTATATTTTTAAATAGTCAACTAAACAGTATGCTTAATTTTTATGAGATTAAGACTTAAGCAGAAAGGAAAAAAAAAAGTCACGTTAACACCAATGTATAAACACTTTTTAGAATCTTTAAATAGGCAATATTTGCCAAAATTTTAGTCTAAACCAAAATATTACTGAGGTCTTCTGCATATATAAAAAAATATCTTAGTATATGGCATCATACCTCTAAAAGTATCACTGATGCTTCAAAGTTTTTAAATCTACTGCTTAAAATATGTTGCATATTTAAACCACAATATTTCCTGGAGGGTTCTTTTCTCTAGTAACTGATACTTCCTGACACGGTAAGAACTTAAGAGAAGTTTTCCTAGTTGCAGAGCTTCCCTCTATGAAGGCCATCAGGCAGGAGGTACAAGATTAGGAAGATTAAATTCCAACAGCAATTCAAGTGCAAAATGGACTAAGTTGTTCCATTCCAACGCAAGGGACATCCCCCCTTGCACAGCTCCGGACTTCAGACCCCAGGTCTTCTACCTCTGATGCAGCTCCCTATTGGTACTAAAAGAGGCAGCACCAGTAAAATAAGTTGGGCTACTCAAGGTAATAAAAAACAAGCGGGTGTACAAGCAGCATCACAGTCTGATATTTGATATCATTACTAGTAAAGATATCAAATGCATCTTTCTCAGCAGGGCAGATCCTATCCTTCCTCACATGCAACAGTAACTTTGAGCCTGTGTATGTTTTCACAGCATTTTTCAGTATACAACAGCAAGAACAGCTCATTTCCCTGCAGGCTGCTACTCGCGTTAAGGCTAACGTAATACAAACCCGTATTTCAATGGCTGGGTCTTATTTGTTATCTGCTTTTAAATTTTACATATAGAAGATTTAATGATAATATATATAATAGCATAGAAGATTTAATGATAATAAAGCATCCATGGATAACACGAACTGCAGTAGCTCAGCTGATTTTGGTGGATGCTGACATACATCCCACAGGACGAGCATTCTCCATGCCCCCATTCATTAGAAACCAGCGCTGTGTACACGTATATAACCACACAACGTAATGGGCTCCACAGAACTCACGAGAATGAGTTTCTAAGCTTCAAAATAGGTCAAATCCTATTGTTTTGTGCCCAGGTGATGCTAACAAGACAGAAGCACGCACAGTGCTGTCGGGGTAGGAAAGCAACAAAACTTGCTGCCTGGGACGGCAACCTGGGGGCTGGCTGGTGTAACTGCCACGCACTACCAGCTAGCCAAAATTTTGACTCGTCTCTTGTATTTGCAATTGCTGGAGCACACCCGTTAGGTTTCCTCCTTCTCCACCATATTCAGCTCCTACAATGAGTCGTCTTCCTGACACTCACAGGAATAACTCTCTCCCAGAAGCTGCAGCAGAGGATTCACGTTTCACCCCTCCCGGGGCAGAACAGGAAAGGGAGCGCGAGGACACAGAAGGGGCAGGGGAGATGGGGACGGAGAGCGGGATTCAAGCTGAGCCACGACCCCTTTTGCCCAAACAGATGCTTCAGCAAGATTTTTAAAGCAAACAAAAAAACCCCCTCAGTTTCTCATCAGAATGCCTGAACACACTGCTGATTATAGGGGCGTTAAAGGCCCAATATACCACCCATACACTGCTGGTAGGCCCATATAGATATACCCACAAACACCACGGGCAGGCCCATATAGGTATAGCCACACACACACACCACAGGCAGGCCCATATAGATGTACCCTCCCACACACACTGACTGCAGGCAGGCCCATATAGATACACCACAGGCAGGCCCATATAGATGCACCCCACACACACAGCCTGCAGGCTGGCCCATATGGCAATACCCCCCCACCCCCGCCCTGGAGCCCCCCCTGCCGCCACCGCAGGTCACAAA